TTCATTTATACACCTATTAGTATTGGCGCCTATTGTAAAAATTTTCGTCTTTTCATTTATCACTGCTGAGAACTCAACCGATGCATATTTATCACCAAGGTACTAAAAGGTCAAGCAGTGATGCATAGAGATTTTTCATAGGGATAGAACAAACTTATGCCCAACAAATCATTCAACTTGAAACATGCGCGAAATGAACAAACTGCTACCAAACCAAGACAGATTGATATTAAAACTTCTTTTTGTGCTTAAAGCTACTATGCCTGGTCTAGGCATGCACCAATTCCAATTAACTGAAATTGTTTAGAATTGAGATTGGTGAACTTTTTTCTACATATTATTGCTATGTCCAACTTATATGTTATATTCAGGACATAAATCAATTTTTCCTACTGGTTATAAGATCAAGAAATCGAAAACTACGTTTTTCCTCAACGGTTTTCTAAAACTCCTTGCGGCAAACCAACTAGAGTTTCGGAACGTTTATTCTTAGATCTTTTACAAATAAACTATAGAATCACATAAATGCTCTACATTCTGAAGTTTGAACTAGTTGTGATGCTTTTTGAGTGCATAGTGAATTTTTTAACGTTAGGTGGAAACAGGCGGAAATAGGTATGCATTAATTCCAACTTGTTCAGTTTCAATTCCAGTTTTCCAAATTGGGATTGGCCCGAACGGGAAGGATTAGAACCTGAATTGGTAGAATTGAAATTGGTCAGACTTGGAACTAGAGTTGGAATTGGTGAACTTTTTTCTACATGTTAAACAAGTGTAAGAAATCGATAATATCTTAGCTTGGTATAGCTTCATTCTGGAATTATGTGCATTTAGCTATTTGGTTATCATCAACTTATACTTCGAGACAGGATTGTTTCTGAAGTCTTAAAACTTAGATTGAAAGGTAGCTTTGAACGGAAAATCAAACAGACATAGATGGAAGAAAAGGTGAAAATCGTCCGTCAAAATGGTCTTCTTTTTTTGCCAAGAAAACATATACCGCTAGAACTGAAAAAAGTTCCCGTTGGTGCTTACTGTTCGTTTTTCTTGTTCTTATGTGAGTTACAGGTAGATACTTTAATTTCGTATTTCCATTTATAAATAAAAATACGGAATTAAGGTATCTATCTGTAACTCACATAATCTATCTATTTCGTATCGGCTAATTGTAACATTCTTGTTGTTGTTGGTCGAGTTGTTGCGTTGAAATCTCAACAAGTCTAACTATAATGAGAGAAATTCAAAGAAATGTCAGAATTGTAGATAACAAATGACATAACAGTCTTGCTTACTGCAATTGTTTTAAATTTATTGAACACAACAGGATTGTTCGGATTGTCGTCGAGCTGAACCGATACCTAGAAAAAAGTCGAATGCAAGTCCATCTGAATGGTTGTCAGTTTGAATAGTTGGCATTGAATGACAAGAAAAGAAAGTCAAGGCCTACTTTCCCAAGTTCACTTTTGAGGCATTCTTCATCCATTCGAATGTAGTACAAATCTGAAATCACAAGTGCGCCATTCATTTTGCTTCTACTTCGTACACTCCTCGTCAAAAACAATAGAGACAGACCACACAAGCAGTATTTCCTAAGACCATTTTCTGTTCACGTACGTGTTCTGTACATACAGTCCATACAGGGACGCCAAATGCATGAGGTGGATAAATTTGAATCAAGAGGATTCTTCTTTCTCTAATAATAAATAATGAAACAGAAGGCTCAAAATAACAACCAGATAAATGACAGATTTTGAAATATAACACGAAATTCTTTAAAAGTCTACTGAGCAATGATGCTTCGAGAAAAACAATATAATACTCCAGTTGTATGCAGAATTAATCTACTAGTCATCTTTTTCTTGACAATTCGCTCATAAAAAGGGTAGAACTATGACATAAAGCTATCAAATTCGGAATCGCAATGCCAAAAAACAATCCTGAGTAATTAGGAGTGTCCCCGAGATTACACGTTCAGAGTGTGTTTCCCCTCACGTTGATTATGGCGCCACAGAAAAGTCATTTTCTGATATGGGTCTCGGAGGTACCACACAGGCGACAATTAGGTGAAAAATCGAAGTTGCTCCTAATTCAAATACAAATAGTGGAAAATGTAGCCCTTTCAAAGGGCTATCGAATAGTATATAAATGTCTATTTTGAAAATGGTTCCTACGACGAGAAATCACGGTACACAAAACCGATTACGGATATCGTTACTACATACGAAATAAAGATTCTTTGCTTACTCAATTATGTTACGCGATTTCAAAGCAAATATTCAGAACCAGCACGTCTTCAGCTATCTATTCATAACAAAATATTTTTATTTCCGCACCGAATTCAATAAGTAAGAGCGATATGTTCTCCATCACGTCAGTCCGTAGTAACAGTACCCCAGTATAGTCGGGCCGCCCTCGTTAGCCCCACGCGAAAATAACATTCAAACACATCAAAATGTCCCTCAAACGCTACTCTATGTATTCTAAAATCACAAAATCTCGCATATTTTCCAAGGAGATTTTATGGATTTTCCAAAATCCCAAGGGGTTTTCGCGTATTTTACGTTTTTCTCTCTCACCAAAGCACTTTTCGTACAAATAATGCCATATTCGGAATCAGCGTGGCAAACTACGTCGAATGATATATAGCTTTTTAATTTTTCTGCAGAAATATTTTCGGTCAAACTGAATTATACAGCTGAAAGCCTGTCCGCAGCAAATTTTGCTTAGAAAGTTGGATATTTACTTTAGCAATAGTACGCAAGTGTATAAACACATTTTTATAGGTTTACGAATACGATCTCTCCAATAGTGAGGTTTTCGAAATGTAAAAATAGAACAATAGAATGAATTAAATTGTGACCAACATATTTTATTTGAATATATTTCAACTCCAATTCTTTATATTGATCTCATTTAATGAGAGTTAGTGTGATAAATTCATTAAGCAATTTTTCTAACGTATAAAACCCGATCAAGCTTGTCTCGTAAATCAGAAATTTTGTCTCACTAATAAGAACAGGTGACGCCAAATTATCGAATACTAAACGTCAAACTTTTCGTACACACACTCTAAGCGTATAATATCGACAAACTTTAGAAATCTTGTAATGAACATTGACAATCATTATGATTTGACAAGCACCATTGACAAAGGCTTAGAAGAAAAATCTTTGTCTAAATTTAAAAGAAACGTAGAAAAGGATAGAGGGGAACATTCATCAAATCAAGATTATTCAAATAGAACGTTTTACATACTTCTACTTATGGATTCGTATTTGATTTATTATTAGTTCAAAGTAACCTCACTAAATAGTAACTATTATTAGAAGTAGTGGATATTTATATAATCATTTATAATTTAAAAATATCAAAACTTATGCGCCATATCAATAATCTTCTTTTATCGGGATGCCATATTTTTCTACTTGTTAGATGATAATCTTTTTTTTTTCGAATGATATCGATCTTTACCGATCGAGAGAATGTTTTTTGAAAAATTATAATAAAAGTCCTAGGCATGACGCGAGTACACTTCACAAGTAATTTATGTAAAAAAGAAAAAGAGTAGTGAATGTTTATGTTTGTTATTAGATGGGTCCAATTTTAACAATTTTAAAGTTAATCTAACCGTAGATATACTTTCTTACTGTTATATATAAATGAGTCAAAAATAATTACTGTCCAATTCATGTCTGAGACGTTTAAAAACAAATGCTACCATAGAAACAGTAAAATGAATTTGAAAATTTTCCTTTTTAATATTAAAAAAATTGTGGTATTATCATGATTAATTAGACACCATTTATCAATATTCGTTCGTTTTTTGTTTCTATGTTTTGTTTCAATATAAAATCGACTATGAGCAAAAATTTTATCTGTTTTATTGACTAACAAGCACAACACAAAATTGATAACTATATTATCATGTTAAACAGTTTAACATTGAAAACATTACGTATCGTTATTCTAACTGTTGGAACAACGTCATCTATTTATGCTCTATTATCACTATCTCGTTTTCTTAAAAAAAAATTTGTGTTAGAAAATCTCATTAATAAACGTTTATCATTAAAAACGTTGATTAGTTCTCAAAATGAAAAAAATGAAATAATAAAACAAAATATTCTAGAACTTAGAAATAAACTTGAATCATTGCAAATATTTTATTATAAATTGAATGATGATCAAGAGATTTTAAGTCAAACTATGTATAAATATATCAAAGATTATGAACATAATTTAGATTTACAACAACAAAAAAATGTGAGTGACGAAGAACAAGTATCACTAACATTCACTGAATACGATAATCAAGATAATTCATCATTAGTGATGAAGATGGATAAATCTCACTATGAAAAGAAACAAAATCAACAAGCAGGCGATGCAAGTAGAGATATTATTTTACAAAAGTTGATTATACCAATGAACAAATCGTCCATAGTATCCATAAACAATATTTCAAATGATTTAATAGAAACAGTGAGAAG